TGGTGTACAACCGTTTCTGTCGAAGCCCGTGTTGGACCGGTGTAAAAATACCATACTTCTCGAAATACTTCGTCAGGGAATCAGCAACAGTCGATTTCACTACGTTTGATAAAACAGCCAGAAGTGTAACTGGACGGTAGTTCGCGGGATTACTTCGGCAGCTACCTTTGTAAATGGTTCAAATCATACCGTGTTTCCAGGACTGAGAAATCACCGTTTTGTAGAACATATTTTAGTATAAATTAGGAGGTGAAAGTTTGTGGGTGGATGTTATCTTCTCATGGGAATGAATTCTTACGCAACGCCAACAGTTAGGCTTTTATTGTTTCGGTTTTAAAGGTGACGGTAGTATGGGACACGACCGAAGGCATGAAAGCTGTGATCCAACTCTGTCATCTGTAGCGATTACGTCATAGAGATAGATTTAGGAATTCAGCTGCTTCGGACGTAATCGCGTCTGGTATACCTTAGTGCTGGTATTCCATATTTCACTTTTCAGGTAGCATTGGTATGCTTATACATTAGCTTTGGATTGGGAATAAATTTATGTGCCAGAGTTTCTTGAAACCTCCGTTTATCCTCTCTCACTAATTCTACACAAAGGTCTCTCAACATGATATAGTTATCCTAAGTGTCGGCGGTCGGACATCTTCTGAACTCTCGCCAGGAGAAATTCCTCTGTGACATCCATTTCTTGGTTCGACTACGGAACCGCGTCCGGCATACCTTAGTGCTGGTATTTTCGTACTTCACTTTCCTGGGTTTTTTATTGCACACTTTCGTGTGATGAACAGCAGACGGGATAAACCCCATAGTTACAAGGACCTGTTGTTCAGTGATGAAAACCGGTAACCTAAGCCCCGGGACTTCGAGTGTTTAACCACATAAGGCCCCGAGAGTTTTAGGCGTGGTATTGAACCTGACGATAGCAAAGCTGCCTACCATCAAAGTCGGGTGGCGGTGGCGGGGCTCGAACCATAGAATCCAAAGCACGCTTGTGACAGCGACTAAACCACTGCGGCACCACCACTTATATTCTTAAATATGAGTTTTGGATTTGGAATAAATTTGTGAGTTAGGGTTTCTTGATTCCTCCGTCTTTGTCCCCTCGAACGAATTTTGCACAAAGGTTTCTTAGCAGGATGTATCTATTTTAAGAATCGGACATCTTTTGAACTCTTGTCAGGAGAAATTTCTCTGTGACATCCATTTATTTACTCGGCTGCAAATAGAGGATAACTGCTTATGGGGTTCACGAATTGGCTTGGTCCTTGTAGCCGCATTTATGGGTTCGGTTAATGTGTCAATGCATCTGTTCCAGGACACCAATCGATCAGACTATTCGGTTCAGGCCTGGTTTAAGCTGGTGGGCACAGTGGTAACACACGCCGACCTTCCATGCAATAGGTCCGAAGTTCAAAGCCC